TTGGTGACATGAACGTTCTTATGTATCGACAAAACCTAATTCTCTGCCACAATGATGCCTTTCATTTGACACAGATAGTATTCATACATCCGGCGTCTAGAAATATCACGTGACGGTCATTATCCTTGATTTTACATAACTTGCCGGGCAAAAGGAAGCATTCACTGGAAAAATTTGACCAAAACATTATCAAAACGTTTCTAGGCTGCATACAGTTGTCGAAGCTCTGGAAACTTCAGGTACAAAAACACAACTATGACACACGCATCAGATAGTTTAGCCACTAACAAACCATCTTCCCGAGGCTAGGGAGCTAACTGACTTTAACAGTCCAGTTTCCACCCTTGCCGAACTAGGCTGGAATTCCTGGGCTCGACCGTAGCGCCACCAATGGTTATTACGAGTTATTCCCCTTCTAAGCCTCTCATATGGACCAATCAGATTCCACCTCTCGTATCACTTGCATTAGCTTCAAAACAAATGGCGGCGCCCAGTCAAAACGATCTGATCGATAATCAAGATATAAAACGGCTCTTACATAGCGAAGTGCATAAAATCACGTGAGCACTTTGATAAAAACATGAAAAGACTTAGAAAATATCGGTTGACAACGAGTTGGCGGTGCAAATGCTTTGCAAATCCCGCAATTGACAGAAATCTGCACGACATTTTACGAACCGGATTTCGAATTCGTTGCGCGATTTTGATTGGACCATGCATAGACTCGTTAGTCCAGCCAAAATATAACTCCATAATACCAGCCTAGTTCGGCAAGGGTGGAAACTGGACTTTTATAGTCAGTAAACTCACTTGCCTCGGGAAGATGGTAACAAACACGGGTGTATACTCTCTTTTGTCCGGCAGTTTAGAAACATAGAAGAGTTCATGCTGAAACGTCCATGTCCTGCACATGTGATGCTCACAGGGGAACCTCGCTAATCCGGACAAGTGCTGCTGGCAACGTCTATGTACAATTAGAGGGACATTTTTTCAGTACAATGACTCGTTATTCCAGACATTTGATATCGCCGAGAAGAAACCGTCTGGATAAACGGGGTTTTACTGTACGTGTATTTATCCTTACATACCATAAATACATTCAAGGAAACGGCGTTTTTAAATGTTTTTGATATGTAAATGATTTTTTGGAATGGATCTCTATACATACATACTATGTACAATACGTCACACTCAAATAAAACAAACTTCTTCTTCTTCTTCTTCTTCATATGCATGTGGGGTTTATCGGGTTATATCCCCCGTGAAGATGCGGGTTAGAATTGGTCTTCAGCAACCCATGCTTGTCGTCAGAGGCGACTAACGGCATAGGGTGGTCAGGCTTGCTGACTTGGTTGATGCATGTCATTGTATCCCCATTGGGTAGATCGATGCTCATGATGTCAATCACTGGATTATCTGGTCCAGACTCGTCACGCCGAAGACCCGGGTTCGATTCCCGACATGGGTACAATGTGTGAAGCCCATTTCTGGTGTCCCCCGCCGTGATATTGCACATTTTGATATATATTACCCGTAAGCTGACACAACCACGCCCATTAGATATCACCCCCTTGACATAACTACACGATATGTGTAAATAGAACCTGGCCTGGTCAGTTCAATGACCACTAAGGTACGCTGACCGATCGTGAAAACCAAGACACAAGACGGACACTCACGACCGCTCGTCACCATGGGACTCCGTTCTTTCGTCCTCAGAAACAAACGTCCCGATTAACAGGCAGGATTAACGGGGTGTCCGTATTAAAATGGTTTTACTGTGTAGGGATACCGCGATCCGGCCCACGCTCGTCTCTCTGGGACATGCACAAACATCTCCCTGTTTCTATATACATATACTGGGAATACATCGGTGCCATCGAGTCTACATGAACGGAATTTCGCCCACAAGAATAGCCATGTAAAACGTCAGGATAGCAACGTGGCCAATAGTCGTCAAATGCTGATATAAATTACTTGACCTTTTTGCAACTGACTACAAGAGAATATGGTCGAATATTGACAGCCAGGAAAGAGGTACAAAGGAAAGGCAGACATGGATGTGTCCCTTGACGTTTATTTATCAACACGAAGGTGTATGATTGGGCTACACGAATCCCACTTTTTATCCAAGGAACATCCCTTTGATATTCTGGCGGGTGCCTTGAATTTTTTTAACACAAAAACCTTTTCCCGAAAATACTGAACACAAATAATTTGACCTCAGTTTTACGCCCCAAAATAAATGGTCCACTGTCCATGCTGGGTGTATGGAAAACTAATTTGTTTGCTAATTGTTTGGTATTGTTTGGTATTGTTTGGTATTGTTTGTTATGCAGCAGTGACCGAAAACATATTCTTGTCCAGTCACATGAACCCATCCCTCTCCTCACCCCTCCAACTCCCCACCCCACTCCATGATAGTAGATGGTCGGTACACCTCACTCCCCACCCTCTTCCCACCCCACTCCAATATTCATACTGTCCGAAAAGGTATTCACACTTTCCCTATTTTACCAACTGGTTCCGCCTTAAAGAAACGTACATCGTACATGATCACTGTGAGTTAAACAAAACCTGATTTGTGTAATTACTCATTCACATCCGCTGGGTCTAAGCCTGCAGTCGCATGTAAACACCCCTTCATAATGTCCAGCATAATGTGATATCGACTGGCGGGAGTTCAAAGGTGGAGACGATCCCTGTCTAATCCGTGTTGGAGCTACTCAGCGTACAATGCGACTATTATCTTTAGCTGCCAGGGGAAGTATTAGACTCGCGTGTGTCTATTTAAATCCACGTGGGGCATGTTAACCACGCCCCCGTGTGGTCAGTCGGAGCAGATGGACACCAACAACTGTCCGGCAGATGGTCAAGTATATAAAGTGTCCGCGCCTTGGGTGGCGATGACGTAATTGACAGTTTCGGTTACATCGCAGATGCTCATTTTTCGTTCCGGTGATTTCCGGAGGTTTCCGGGGAATTCGAAATATCTCCCTGGGGAGTGTATTTAGTTCTAATATAACATGTCAGTCTTCGATAAGCAGAGATAAATTTGCGTGGTAAGTTAAGTACCTGCAGGTACTGTATGGGTTGTTGTGTGGTAATCGTGTGATGGATCTTGCAGCAATTGGCTGAGTCTATGTACATCAAGAACAAAGTTAATCACAACCCTTCTTTAGCTACATATATCCCGACATTACATATATCTTTAGGAAATATTTAATAAGACATCGTTTTAAATTTTATCAATGATACCAACGACACCTGTGATATGTTTGAACAAGAACAAGAACATACTGTTTGCCCAGATGGGTCATATTATTAGCCGCGAAGAAGGATAGTCGAAAAAAACAATTGCCGTGGAACAGTTATAAAGCATATCATCGGTCGTTTAATAAAATACGAACAAATGTATTTCAACAAATTATTACAGGATCCGATTCTCCTTAAAATGGCTGTCATTTCGAAATATATCAGAAGCGTTGCTTAACCTATTCCAGTTGTATATATGGCAATAGCAGCTTCAGGTCAAATACTCTGTGCCGTATATATCGATATGGAAAAGTCTTCCTCTCTTAATTAATTCAAAGTTCTTGTATATATCCCTGTGACGTTATATCAAAAATACTATATCTAAATAACAATGCCCCATGTAAACATGATGGGACTGTTCTAATATCAACTGTGTTCTGTTATCTTTGCCAGGACCCTACTGCCTGTGTATATGATGTTACTTTAATAAATAAATCATACGAACTGTAAACTTTTTCATAAATCGTAAAAACACTGCAGACGCGGGGAGGTTATCAGTCGTGTATATAAACTTGTGATACACCATGGTTGTTTTCACGTGTCTCCAGCAGACTGTATCATGAGCATGTGTTTATGAATCACTATCAAATAGTGATGATACCAGGTGTTCGCGAAAAGGTGGGCGTACCCTGCCCCGCCGGTGGCACCCGTCACAAACACACGAAAAGGCAAGTCAATTGTTCACCTGAACAATATGTAACTCTTTACTGTACATTGTCATATAAGATCTTGTGGTTGTATATCATTGTATAACTTTCAAGGATATATCTTATAATTGTTAGGATATATCGCCTTGCTAATGTAACGTGTATCTTCTAATACATGCCACGTATATCATCTGTGCATTGTCATGTTTATCATCTGAGAAATGACATGTATATCACCCAATAAGGGCCATGTATATCTCCTAACAATTGTCACGTATATCATCTGACAATTGTCATGTATATCATCTGATAATTGCCATGTATATCATCTGAAACTTGTAATGATTATTATGTGAAAATTGTCATGTATATCATCAGATAATCGTGATGTATATATTTATTTCGCCGTGTATATCATCTTGGTTGGCCATGTATATCAGTAACTGAGTTATGTATATCTGATAATGATTGTCACGTATATTATTTGATAATTTGTTGATATTTATCACATATATCATCTGATAATTAGTACGTATATAATTTAATATCAGTCATGTATATCGTCTGAACTGGGTAAGATGGACCAGATGTATGTTGTGAATATCATCGTTTGATTCTCATGTATATCATATTTAGGAAACCAAGTGAAATGTTGCATGGTGTCAATGATAGACCAATCTTGGCGAGCTCCGTAAACAGTAACTATATACGCTGTATACCAACACATCTTAGAGCTTAAAACGTCATATTCTGTTCACCACCGAAGGCCCAATTGTCTATGATAAACACGATAGAGATGGACATATTTTCTCCAACGTGTTTCAACCTTTTTCATCCCCTTGTTCCGTTTCAACGTGTGAACATTGCAGAATCTCGAGTGAGCTATTATCCCCCATCTGGACCTCATATTGCATTGAGCCGACTCCCCATCTTCTCGTCCCCAACAAGCTCAGGACCTGCAACTACTACTGGAAACCCTTTAGGCTGTCGTCCTGCTGGGACCCAGGTTGTGCTGAACAAACACGTAAATAAAACCAATTGGTGTGGAATTTCATTTTATTTGTTTGGGATTATACTGTTGGGCCTGATGCGGTCCTCACTGCGGTAACGCTCGACAGTCGGAGCACCACAGCAAGTGGTTGTGGTATTCACATTCAAAATTTGGAGGATTCGTTTGGAAATTATCGTTTACGAAATTTGTTGAGGGTGAAAATCCATTCGTATGAGCTGATATTTCTGCAGTGTATTTTCTCCATAATACTGTGAGCACCTTTGCTATTGTGAATGAATTTGTCAAAGGAGATGGTATCAATTATAAAATTAAAATTCTGAAAATAAATATTCGAAGAATAGCACTTCTGATGGTGACGATTGTCAATTTTTGGGTATTGATCTAATATAATTATTTCAGAATAAACCGCGATGCAACATTGTAGATCTAAATTTCTACTTCGGTACTGTCAGTCATAACGCTTAACAGTTGTGATTCCGATTTTTTGGAAAAAGGTCGTAAATTTATTTATAAAACTCGCATCTGTTGCCCATAATTTAGAACGGTTGTTTTTTGGTGCTCATACGGGGCGAGAAAACACCTGACACACCAAGCTCATACGGGACTTTGCACCAAGTACCTGAGGTGAAACACATCCATGACACGGGAGCACTACATTGTGACGAGGATAAAACAGAGAACATTGAACACAAGGAGCCACCATATTGAATTGGAAACATACGAAGTCAATCACCCTGTTAAACCGTTGTTTCGTACGTTGAGTACAGCTATTTCAGCCATTGTTTCGCATGATTATATGGATACAAATGATTCCAAAGCGATTGTTGTGTGTGTTTTCTGACGATGAATCTGGTAATGGATTTTGTGGGTTACCGTTTGAATGTAAATTATAACGGTTAGTGAAGGTCCCCTCCGAAAATAAACAGTAATTCCAGCCGAGCGATTCATAACGTTATTGTCGCGTTGAGGCAGATGAATAAAGACCTCTTTAATTTAATATGCAAGACTGCTTAGAGTTGATGTGATTTCCTCCCCTTGCAACGGCCCCTACACAAGTACGCCAGGTAAACATCGCACACAATTACGATATGTTTGGTATTTGAGCGAATATCAAATCTCAGCCCGCATCGAACAACAGAGGAAGAATTAAAAGCTCTCAGTTGCCGCCGAGGTATTAAATCGCTAACGGATTATCCATTAAAATTTCATTCCTCGTCGCGGGAAGCAAGTTTACCTTTGTAATAGCGCTCCCCTTGAGACCTGACGGCTTTGGAATCTCGTGCGTGTATGCGTCACGTGACTGTCCTCAGAGACCTTCCATTTTATTTCAAAACCTAAAGCATGTTTACTCAGAAAATGGAGCCGAGACTAACTTAGTTTAGGTTTCAAAGCCAAATTGTTCCAACCATTCTGCAAACCTTTCTATGGGGCATTTATGGCGGTAGATTGACATAGCTCTTACCCATTTGTTTCAAACGAATACGGGATAGAAAAGGACGGAGGGCATGGCGGACGCGCAAGGACATTGTCGCGAGCTTCAAACGTTTAGTCGCGAAGAAGGGAGATAATTGAAGTCAAATGAGATAAAACATTGTACATGTACTGGCTTTGTGCTTTCAACTGCAGTCAACATGGGGCTTAACTGGATGAGTAGTTACGTGGTCTGCGTAGACAGTTCGTACGCAGTACCGGGTACGTGTACCCTTTCACCCCGGCCGTTATTCGAGCCACGCGCTTGGGTAAACAGTTTTAGGACTGTGTTAAGCTTAAACGAGCGACTGAAGTTTTCCAGCATAAATTAGGGACTTCTTTACATCTAGGTTACAGCTAAGGGTCGTAGGGTCTTACGAAGTTCATCTTAAATATACCTCCCACACGGTGGCAGATGATGGCAGACATTGAACAAAATACACACAGACAGAGGACAGACATTATGCTTGTCACGAAAAATGACGAATTATGTACAAATTTAAATTATGCTTCAATATTATGTAAAATCAACATCTGTTTTACCAAATGTACATTTAGTCCGGATATCTCGAAGGTCGAGCTACACTGTGTCCATGGCACATTAGGGGAAGCCTTCCCTCGAGATGCATTGATCCTTAATACACACGAGACATGTTGTTTGAGTGAAACGTAGCGCTTCCGCACACGCGTCGCTGTCCAGTCGTTTTTCCCAGAATTCAGTGTACAGGAAGTTGCGTCATCCAATTGCCCGTATGTGGACAGCCATTAATCACAATTCAGCACACATTTCCAAGCCATGTCTACACGTGCCACAGTCATCTCGGACACTCTCTAATAGTTCTGTACCGTCCCAGTACTTTAAGGTTTGACCCGTGATGTGTTTGCGCATCTTCACTGCGCACGGCAAATTCACTGTCACCATGCTTCAGACATTTCCGGGTGATGGTGACTGAGGGACTGGGAAAGAGACTGGCTGAAAGGAGTCCCAGGAATTGAGCGCGGAATAAACGAACCGTCATGTCCGTGAAGCGGCATTGGCTCGGGTGTGGATGCTGGCGGAAGGATATCTCCAGGTAGAAACTGACCCTCCTGTCCCAACCCTGAAAATAAATAACATCTTTGTTAAAACATATTCACATATTTCTTGTGAAAAAAAACCAAAAACAATGTACAGCATCTCATCTTAAATCGGACATAAAAATAAGGAAAGACATATTTCGTATAATGAACAAATATTTCCGACTGGCTTCAAAGCTTCATATTCCAAATTTGGTAACGCCTAATTTGAGATATGCATCAGCAGATAAGCCTGGTCATAAATGTCTCTTCCACACTATCATGGCTTGACAATTATTTGCGGTGATACGATGAGTATGTATCGTTATCGGCGACGTGTTTCACGACACCCAAACACAAACGTGGCATCCAAACAAACATCCACAGATTTATGGTAGATTCCTAAAAAACTAGACCCGTGAAGATCAGGGGTAGACTAGGTCTTCAGCAAACCAAGCTTGCCGTAAAAGGCGACTAACGGGATCGGGTGGACAGGCTCGCTGACTTGGTTGACGTCATCGTATCTCAATTGCATGGATCGATGTTCATGATGTCAATCACTGGATTGTCTGGTCCAGACTCGTTTATTTACAGACCGCCGCCATATAGCTGCAATATCGCGGAGTGCGGCGTTAGTTAAACAACAAACAAACAAACAAACAAACCTAAACAAACTAGGGACATGTCCAGTAATTCAAGTGTTTTAACGTCTGATTATATCAAGAGGAAAACACAGAGGAAATGTACGACAGAGCCATTTAAGGAACCTATTAAGTTTTGTTTGGGTCGTTTGTTTATCATCATTTCACTTCAAAAATCTTAGAGCCGTCAACACCCATTGAAGGGACATGGGCAAAATGCTAGTATTTTCCTGAAGATAAATTCCGGTGACAGTTTGGGCGTCATATAAACCATGAGCTAGAGATTGCTGGGAGTTTACAATCCTAAAGCACTTTGGGAACGCTGCGTAGACAGTTGAAACAACCAACGAAGTGGTCGTTTTTTGTACCAACGGAATGCAGTGGTGACTTGTAGCGATAAGATCTTTCCTAGCGTCTTCGAAACCTCCTCTCCTGCACGCTGTGGCCATATGCGTCTAATTAGGCAACGATAAACCGTTCTGGAGAAATCAAAGGGTCGTGATTTAGTCAAAGAAAGGCCAAGTCACAACAAATCTAGTACCGCTTTGTTGAATATTTCGCTGCTCGGTGCATGGAGAAGGTATATCTAACACATGCCTTGAGATTCTAGGTTGTCAGAACTCAAAAACGGTCTGGGGAGAGGGTCATAAAAATCGTTTATGGCATGGAATGCACGGATTTGGATAAAGATGCGGGTAAAGTATTGAGAACTTCCGCGCACGCTGCCTTCAAGGCACACGCACATGCTCAAACGGACATTTATCAAGTTTAAAGCCGGTATCTAGATGCATGGCGTGAAGAACACGAACATTGGTGAAAAGTTTGGCTGATTCTCATGTTAAACATTCTCTTTCTGGCATTTTATGGACCTTCCGAGACACAGGAGACAAACAATGGCCCCCTTCAAACTTGCTGGAACCAGAACCTCTCTGCCTCTTTTGACATAAATGGCCAGTGTATGGCCATAAAACTCAGCCACTGGGCTTCAAACGAGATGGAACGATATGAAGGCAGCTAAAAGAACAGGAGGGGCGATTTAGGTAATCGTGAAGTCGAATGAAGGCAAGAAAAATACCTCATCTCAAGACAGGAGGATTTAAGGTTTCCGGAAAGGCACTTTTGGTCATATCTATCGGCATACGTTGGGTCTTAGATACAATTGGAAATGGTAAAATGTTCCTTTTGAAAATTGAAAATGAGCGGTCCCCCGAAAGCCTTCGGTGTCCATGTTGGCATTTTAGTTGAATTGGTAAGCCGAGACTATTCCGAGTTTTAAGAACCTTGAATACAGATCGACTCCGCGCGATTAATATTCCGCCTAATCCGTATAGCAAATGGGAGTTTCTTCAAAACTGATATTGCTTCGCTGCGTCTGTACATTTGTAGAGTACAGTATTACGTTGCCCTGACTGTATGGGTGAACGAAACACCACCCATGCCGGGAATGGGGGGCGAGAGGGGGGAAAATACGTTGATGAGTGAAACATCTCCATCTGACAATCAAACATCGTCGTGAGGAATACTTTCTGTCAGCACGGGTGGAACGAACGTGAGAAGGATGGTGAATGACAGTCGGGCATTCTCTCTGTCGATATAGGTAGGCGACCTGACAACAGCTGTGTCTGTCGGCGTGTGTCACTGCAGTCGTCGTCATGGTTGTCGGGCAGCAGTCGGTGAAGGCGTAAAGCGGAGTGTAACGGTTTGTGTTGGTAACAGGCGTGGTGGCGGGGACGCTGTTTCGGGGAGGCTTATAGTATAGGGAGGAGGGGGGAGGAGAGAATCTCGAGTTAACGTCAGAATGTAATCAATCCAACGTTAGGTTTGTTGAATGAAGCCCAGGATGGTTACACACTGCCTTTTAAAAAGCATCAAATGTAACAAATTATATATTTTGGATTACACGTTTTTGGTTTTAGCCCATTTCGGGATTCACAGAAAGGTAAATATTTCTGGATACCATAAGTAGTAGTATAGTAGTAGTAGTAGTAGTAGCTGTCTTGCTAGCAGAAGTACTATTAAGAAACTGTTGTTTTTTCCTCTGCGACACGTACCAATCCATATAGTGTTTTACGCCGTTCAGTGTCAGATGAACTGAATGGCAGAAGAAAAAGTGGCAGTAGTACATGTAGTCGTTGTTGTAATAACAACAAGAGTGCTATGTAGTAGTGGTCATAGTCGATGTAGTTCTTGACACTATTTTTACACAATGGCCGAAAAGTAGCCCCCTCACATGCCAACAATTATGCATGGCAGGTTGAAAGATCAGGAGTGTGAAAGGCCGGAAGTGCGTTGTGAAGTGTCCAGATAACGCCAAGCGTGACGGAACTATTTTCAAAGAAGACGTGACAAAGTTTGCACAACAAATGGCAGAGGGGCGACTATGGAGCAGACTTGACCCCATCCCGGAAGTAAGCCCGGACCTGCTATCCGTGAAGATCGATAGTCAAACACGTGCTCGGAGTGAACAAAGACGGAGATAGCAACCATTTGAAGCTAAAATGTCGCTGGCAGCCGCCAAGTGCGAGAAATTATTCTCCCTCACGGCCCAGCAAAGCCGGAGTGTTTGGAGTGTTAATTAGGCAGTTGAGAATACTTTTCGAATTACCATATGTCTATTTGACTATGGACATCGTATGTGCCAGAACATGGCCGTCCTCATCTACAAAACAGCATTTCCGATATGTTGAGAAAAATACCACACGACGACCACGACGGGGATGTAGTTCCTGCGTTGTGACAAATCTAAATCTTCCGTTGTTGGGGCGAGGCAATATTAGCGATGACGTCATTATTCCTGTTTGATGGGCAATGTCTTGTTCGTAGGGTTGTAAGCACAAGGTGTCAGTGTTAATATGCATTATCTGTCAAATTATTTGCCTTATGCACCAGCATGCACGGCCACGTGCATAGATTGATACCAGAACGTGTTCTTGCCCTCGATGTGTAATAATTATATTTTATACTGTGATTCTTTTCGAAGCAACTGAGATCATTTAAATTGAAACACATTTTTATCATCGCTCGTGGATAAAACACTCCCTATTTAAAGTTTAAATTTAAAAATGATCTGACGGCTTGTTTAATTTTAGAAATATATATTTTAAAGGATTAAACAGTTTCCTTGGCCTTGAGTTAAAACAAAACCAATCGTGTTTCTGTTTCTAATTTCATTCACACAACACGGCAGGTATATTGACGTTCCCAGATATAAGTTTGTAAAAAGGGACAGATGTTACAGAAATGATTGATTGACAGCGTGAACTTGCTGAACAACGTTGTGAATGAAGGCGAGTTTGTCCCTCGCTTCAAGAACGACCTCATCGAACTGGACTAGAAGATATATGTTTACGGGGCACTAAGCCTAGGGTTATTTATTGCATAATTTACGGTGGACACGGATCTTTTAAGAATTATCAGGAGGTCTGAACCCATGTTGGAGGTCACGGAAAGCAATCAGTTGGCCAGCGATCCCCACGGCCGAGACCTCATTCCGTTAGGTACATTCAATACATACAAACAGATGCTTCTGCAAAACACTGAGTATGGAAATATTCACACAATGTTGTTCTCTTTACGAAATTAATTGATTTCCTTCGTTGCCACCAGAGGTCGCTTCACCTACTGCGAGGAGGGCTGCCGATAGGGGGCTCTGAGCGACAGACACAAGTGTAGAACATTTGCGGAATGGAGCGGGCGCCGAAACGAATTTAAAGTCCGCATCGTGGATATATGTTTCCCCGAGCCGTGTGCGCTCTTGGCATGCACGTGCGCAAGTGTCTTACATTTACGCACCTCGTACGCACCCTTTTAAGTTGGCGAAAACACTAAAACGACATTCTGTTTTGAATTATAAGCTGATAAAATCGCACCATGCTTCGTGTTCAGGGGACCGATGGCTTTTTGAAGCGGGGTGAAGTAGGTCTAGGTTAGTGAAAGCTTCTCTTCAGCTGATCATAAGGGTTCTTAAACACGACCTCCTATGTCGTGGCATAATTGAAATGATTATGACCCCTGCGTGTTTCGGTATGCTCATAAATCCAAAACAATGTATTTAAATAAGAAAAGATTCGCCGTTAGCAAAACTATTTTTACTTATAAATCTCCAATAGATCACGTGACTATGGTCCAAGCATGACCATGCTCATCTTTAATTAAGCATGAGTCAAGTTTTTCAAGCAGCTCTTCTGAAGAAAGTTTTCTTTCTTTTATATTTCCGGGCACATCAAGTCAACGGTCCAAAGAATTCTTTTGCATAATCTTTCGATATTAATCTTTCCTTTCCGGCTAGTGATGTCTTTATTTCATGGGTGGCAAGTACCGACCCTGAAGACAACCATTGAGTTGAGCCCTTCGACCATAATCGACAGATAATTATAAAAAGCGCCTGTCAAAACACACTCTCTATACAGCCGGTCTGGAGTCAGCTGGGTGAGGGACATAATCGATTGAGCATAATCCCCCGGGCTTTGGGAAGATAACGGGAAGGGGGAAGGGGGATACTTGGTGATAGATGATCTCCAAGACTCTACGGATAAATTTCCTATAACTCCTTGGAATGGCGGCATTTGCTCAAGCCCCGCTCTCCCTCGCGGCATATCATAACACTCGATCTATGCAATCATCCTTTGTAATTAAAGGCACGGCTCATATTTGTGAGAGAATGGCCGGTAGCACGGGGATTCGCGATATAAATCAGTGGTAGCTCGAACAGGCTACATACTCGTGCCGTTCACAAACTTCTGTGACTTCAAGACTGGAGAACTATTGAACTTGTCCTTTTTGGACTTCCTGCGCTGAAGAGTTCTACTGGGCCTTGGGCGGTCTCGTTTAGTCTATCACAAATCTCGACCAGGAAGGCCTTTCTGGGACTTCTTTTTCACAGACGTAATTAATGACCTAACGAAAAGCAGAACGCTGAGGTTCTGTTGTGAAGGACTTAATTACTATTGAATGTTGAAGAAGGAAGCAAGAGCACAAAGCTTCGATGTCACAGGGAGGAGACCGTTGTCCATATGCTCCACTAGGAGAAGATGGAGAGAGTCTACCGCCACCATGTCCTTAACATTGTAATAGTGTTTGTAAACACACCGCTAGCTTGCATAATAATTGTCAAGTACCACTGAGCTTCTTATTGGATTGCGCAAGTTCTATTAGCATATTGATGGGTGACTAATTACTTTCTTGGTCGGCGATTCTTAACAAGTTACTATCGCAGACTTGTGTTACCAAACACACTTAATTACAACCAGCCCGCCCGGATGCTCAAAGAGTTGATATACCAGGGGTTGACAGGCCGTGGTAGTTATTGAAGCGTTATTAGTTTAAACAGAGGCAAGTCGTTCTACGGGCACAACACTACAAGCAAGAGGTGTTTAGTTGAAGTAATTCGCTATTCTCATAAGCGTGAGTGAGTGAGTTGAGTTTTACGCCGCCTTAAGCAATATTCCAGCAATATCACGGCGGGGACACGGTGCAGGGCTACAATCGTTCAAGGGAATCGAACCCGGGCTAGCGAACGATTTAATCACCAGGCTACCCGACCGTTTGCATTATCATAAAAACAGAAAAAACACAAGATACGAGTGGTGGGGAGCGTGCAAAACCTTGGGAGAAACGGTTCACTGTTTTCTTTTTCAAATTATCTTTAAAAAACACTTGTTCATGTCCAGCCAAACCAGCATCACGTTAACAAAGACACGATTTTGAGTAAAAATATCATGAATGCCGACACAATTATGAATAACAATTCCTTATATATTGAAACATACTTTTAATTTTTCTAAGAATAATGAAGTGATGCATAATATTTTGAAATTATAGTAGAATATTGAATAATGTCAGTGCAGTTGTTTCTCGGCGGGGTTTGTTCTGAAGAGAACACGGAACAGGTATGCCGGGATTATCTCCCTTGAACATACCTGGCGGGGGCATTGACGGATCTAATGTCAGGGGTGGGGTACCTTGCGAGGGGGGCAGAAAACCAATACTGCCGTCTTGACCTTGTCCTAGGAAAAACTCGTTGTAACCTTGGTAACCAGGATAGAATTCCTGTCCATTATCTGAAAATAATAAAAAGAAATTGTATTTTCCGCATATTACCGCATACTAATGTTTCATATCAACATATACAAGTGAATAGGATATTTAGAATTCTTGCTGACTAAGCACAATATATCAAGCTGTAAATATATACGTGTAGAACGTTAACAGTCATCGACAAATCAAATATTTTATGTTTTTATATTAGAAGATTTATGATACCATATCGTGTCATATATCCAAGTTCTTGTAAATGAAGGAAATATGTGATAATTTCAGTCTGTTTCTAATGGAATATATGCAAAACACATTAGTCGAATATATCATATATCTCAGTTACAATCATAAAAACCCCATCAAAATACACAGCATTAGCACCGACAGCATAGGCAATATAAATACATGATCAAAAATCATGGAAATATGTTTTATGAGAGCTTATCAATTTCAATTTACAATTCAATATTAATAGATACTAGATTCGTGAAACCGTTAAAACAGTCGGGAGAACTTGGCACCAGGGCGCAAATACATTAACAATGAAATCCGATGATCCATTATGAAGCACAGTAACGATAGAGTCGCGAGATACGAGGTGAGCGGACAGTCTGTTGCAGCGTCGCTTACACCTTGCCGAAGATGAACGACACAGATGCGCGACCCGTCACTACCATCAGCAAACCATCCCGTTCATATTGAGGCTTGAAGTTCAACAAGATTTAGAATGGATTTAAATACGTGCTTATTGCTATTCATGCCAGTTTTGTGAACAGCCATGTGGTGGTGTTAATCACACGACAGCATATAAAAGTGTATTCAGACACGTGTGCTGGTGTATGTTTAATGTATTCGTATGTAACATATATTTACCACCACCATGATTTCATGCATCATGGTGTTTAATAACTAGCTCGATGATCATACTTAGTACAATATGTGCACGTTTTCATGCATTTCAATAAAATAATTAACATGTGTTTTTACATCATATTCGGTATTTGGATACGTGGGTGTCATAACACATATTATTATTATTATCATTATTATTATCATCATCATCATCATCATCATCATCATCATTATTATTATAATTATTATTATTATTATTATTATGATTATTATCATTATTATTATTATAATTATTATTATTATCATCATTATTATTATTATTACAGATTTAAATTAAAACATTCAGCAAAGAGGGTTTGGGTGATCCTGGCACAGTCAGGCTGGTTAGGCACAAAGTCAGCATGGGTTGCTGATGACCGATTCTACCCCTCATGCGAAGTATAACTATAGGAACTAAGGCCTTGTGAACACTTGATTATAATATGTAAGTAATATTTTTTTTCAGTTAACTGTAAGAAATATATTGTCAACGTAATTCAATATAAGTATAAATAAAATGAAGACATGAAGAACTGATTTTACATGACTGTGTATACTCAATATAATTAATATTATTATTTCAGATTAAAATACAAAATGCAGCAAAGAGCATTAGGGCGATCCTGGCACAGTCAGGCTGGTTAGGCTCATCATCAGCTCAGGGCCCTTGCCCCCTCTACACGCAGCCCAGACAGCGAATGGGGCTTCTCCTAGGAAGCGCTGCCTTGTCAAACCCACCCAGAAATATTCGGAGAATGTGAAGACTCCCCAGACAACCGTGTTATTCCGGACGTTATCGGTCCGGGTGAGATTGTCCGGATTGACGAAATGTCCAGATTAACAAACGTATACTGTAATATCGTTTCATCGCTCCAGTTTTATAGAGTGGTTCCAATCAGTGTTTCTCCATAAAGGGAAGTCCAGATTAACAGTGTCCGGATTACCGGGGTTTCAATGTACAGTGACAGTTACAGATATATACCGTTACCTCTATATCCCTATCTCTGTATTATCAATATATTTTCAGAAACATATCATTTATAAAATTGCAATAAATCCAATACAAGTATACAAATTCCGTTGATGACAAATGCAAATATATTCGTTCACATTAATGCACACAGAAATAATTAATGTAGAGTTCACTGGCTTTGCAGTCATACCGACTCACCCGCCAACTATTAAGTGACGCACAAGCGATGGAGGGATCCAGTGCATGTTTCGTTTCATGGATTCAATTTGTTTCCTTCATGTGAACTTGTTAACTCTATTCCTGTGTGTAGTTCCGGAACTAATAATGTGTTTATATGAGTGATTTTCTATAACTATTCTCCGACATGTGTTGTCGATATACCGACATGTATTAACAAACAACTCACCGAGAGCAGTCCAGCACCCCATGGTCTGATGTGACTAATCACGTTATTATCCTTAGTTTTTGTCAATACATTGTCTTTGATTCTTCATGTGCAAATTAATATTTTGATAACAGCTTGCATATGTAATTCAAAATGAAGTTTAACCATCTGTATTAGTCTCTCATACAGGCCCTGAAACAAATATATCCAATACAGCCCATGCAAGTCTATAATGTTTGGCAAGTCTAGATTACTGCAGTATCAGTATCTAAAAATGAAGAAAGTCTCTGGGCTCCTTTTTATTATATTTTATATCTATAATTAAACAACTGTTTTTTTTCTGTGAAATATATTCATTTCAGAGACTAGGTGTTAGTCTACCATTTGCATATGGGCTTTGCAACAACATGTCTTTATTTACAGGTTAAAAAACAATAATCATATGTGAGATAAAATATGACATAACACCAAATTATTTTGTAACGCCCCGAGCAGTGTTTTTGTACTGACTGATTTAAGGGTTACAGTGGTATATACCCGTTTAAGGGATCGAATCCTGTCCTATTTGCAATATGAATTTAAAGTATGATTAAATGATCCTTTGTATGTAAGGGGGCAAAACCTCTGGAATCCTCCAGGAACAATATTTCAAAATTAGTTTTTTGTTCAATTTTCGTGTTTACTTGTTTATAGTTATGTGAGACATTATTTACATTTATTTAAATAACTGTATTGTTTAAAATTGAGATCTCTGTCTCGTGGAGTAAGGGGGTGGGGGTGGGGGTCTTATCTCTGTGTCTCGTGGGGTAGGGCGTGTACGATCACAGGGTGGATGTGTGTGTATGTGTCGAGGGGAGGGGGGGGGGGGGGGGGGGGGGGGGGTCTCTGTCCCATGGGGTAGAGCGTGAACCAGGTGAGTGGCCCTGGGTGGCCTCCCTGCCTTATAGGGTTGGGTGTGAACAATCACGTTAGGGTGGTCGCCGTCTTCGGAGTGGGGATGCGGGTGGCAAGTATGACAGACTGACAAGTCTGCCTTAACGTCCAGCTGACATTCAGACGGGTGTAAGACAAAGCTAGGAAACTGTTGAAAGCCGGATAATGATAACCATCTCACTGTAGCCGCGCACTCTTGTAGGTGACGTCGCGATGCCGTATCAAGGAAATCACAGCCGATTCAGCGCGATGTAGAATAATAAGCCTTTTATTGTACTAATACTTTTTTAGAGATGAACTGATACCAATGAAGCGTCAAATCTGAATGTTCAATTGCGACAGACCCGCGTGTCTGGGGGCTGTCTCGGGTGGCGGATCAGATGGTTGTGTTCGGTTGGATGGCTAGGTTCAACCTGTTTAATGACGAAGGCGAGCTGTGCTTTGACGAGTAAATTACTGGCACGTAGAAAACATATGGCCTAAAACACGTTCAACCTGTCTATTTACATTACAACAAATATCACACTACAACACTGCAGAAAGATAATTAATGCCTAAAATACTCTGACCTACTTAATATAATTACATCAAACTACCGCTCGCACAGCCTCACGAACGTACCAGCGATATGGGAAACATTGATTTTTGAACAGAAAAATATGTTTGACACTGAGAGCAGATTTGACACATGTTGCGGATCGATTAGTAGGTATACGATTTATGATATACAAGGCTATGTGCCACAATGCCCGAGTGATCCTATTGGGGGCGAGGTGACTTTCTAGCGGAGCATACAACATTCGCCTCGTTCAGTACGCCATAAACCGCGCACAGGCCAGTCAAGTCTCGTGTAATTTATTCAAATGGGCGGAGCTACGCTGCGATAGCCGGTCCGTATCTACATTTGTATACAGCGCACTTCTATGGGGTTAGAATACTGTGGGGTTGAGGTGAGGTTACATCTCCTCGCATTACCGAGGGATGTCATTCAGTGGTTTTGAAGGAACAATTTTTCACACTTCCCGTATTGTATCATTGTAACACGACTATTTGCATATCATTTCCCCAGATATATCATTTTATAATATATAATTTTAATTATTCCCTTGTCAGGTTGGACGAGCATTAAAAAGGGAAATAGGTTTAATCATATATCGCATACTTCCCAGGGAGTTGAGAGTGAAAATCGAGAGCACACTAATCCAATGACGCATTATTATTATTATTATTATTATTATTATTATTATTATTATTATTATTATCATTATTATTAATTATTATTCTTATTATTATTTTAAAATAAACTGCGTTTTTATACAACGGTGTCGTGCATGTGAATGAATGAACATAGTAATTAATTCTCACCAAACAAAGAAACCGGACCGTGTACGACCGTGCGTGGATAAACTGTTTTACTAATTGTTAAACATATCACATATGTAAGCTTGGAAAGTAACACCGAATATCGCGAGATTTCACGCGACCTTCCTCCCAGTGTTGGTGAGTTCGCCTTTCATGTGCGTTCTCTATGCCTATATCTAATCTGGGGATTGTCGTCAAAGCACAGTTTTCTATGATTTATTATCTATAATTTAGGTCTAGGTAAGCCATTTTTTTTGCCCCCTGCTGTCAGATGTGGAATCGCGGACAGATGTTCTCCTCACCGCGCAATAATACGGCGATTTGGGGGCCATTGAAAGCTACATGCGTACGTAATTCTAACCCGTATCCACATTCAGCTTGACTAGGGCGATACTATTGAATATTATCACAAACTGCTTGACAGTAATGTGTCTATCATGTTAATTCTTGACAGAAGAATTTGCTATTTTTTCTTAACA